ACAAACCAAAAAATTCAACGTGCTAATACTACTATCGGCTTTCGGTATTTCGCTCCAAGTTAAATCATTTCTCGTTTTTGTTACGCTACGAGTTTACCCTTGTGGGCCTCAGTCTCGATAAGGTAGGAACCACCATTTTAGCGTCTCTCGAATTCACGATTGGTTTGGTAGTGCTCACTTTCTATCAAAATCAGCATTATCTGGAGTTTATTTCAAAAAGGGGATGAGCAACAAATTTGTTTTTCCAAAACCAATTTACGACAAAATAGCGAAAAATTATCAATACAAAAAATGCTAGGTATATGCTCATTTTCATGATTGGTTTGGTAGTGCTAACTTTCTATTAAATTTATCATTATCTGGGATTTATTTCAAAAAGGGGATGAGCGACAAATTTCCTTTTATAGAAAATTTTGACAAAAAAGCAACAAATTATCCGTATATAAAAAAATGTCATTAATGCTCATTTTCATGATTGGTATTGCTAACTTTGCTATAACTTTATCACTACTAGGGGTTATTTTGAAAAGGGAATGAGCGACAAATTTACCAATATTCAAAAATGAAAAATTCCAAAGTGGTAGTGCTAACTTCACGGGCGTATAATCTACAAATATTCTCGTGTTTTTTTATAAAAATAAAAGTTAGTTCATAATTATAATGTACTTTGATTCTAATATAAATAAAATAATATGTATTTACACAAACAAAATATTGCTTGATTATAATAATTACCTGATCCGTATGATTTATTGAAAAAGAATTTAAATGATCCCATGAAGAAAATTTTGTTAGGGGAGAGTTAAATTATCGCAACAAATTTATTATTTTGGCATTTACACTTATCCAAGAGAAATTAAAAAAAAAAACAAATTAATCATTTTAAAACGTCTTTATTGGTATTTGAAACAGCGTTTATTAGTTTGTTTAAGAATTTTGTTTAATATTAGGTTTTTTAAATGTTTATTTGTAAGTTAAGTTCATTTAAATATCTAGAAATATTTAGTAATAATTCTTATAATATCGTTGAATGCATGAAGTTCTTGCTTAGAAAAATACCTACTTTATCTATATAGGTATTTTAATTTGTTTTTTAAATGTAGGTATATGACCATATATTCTAACTACAATAATACATAAATTAAAGAAAAAATCATCAAATAAAGAATTTTGGTACGCAACCCAATCATATAATTAATTATGTCTATAGGAATAGGCGAAAAAATTTAGTTTTGTACCCGCGGTTCACGAAATAGTTGGGCACTACCATTTCCAAAAGAAAAACAATGTATAGAGTATAATATACAATTTGTTTATTTTCTTATCTATTTGTAGTTACATAGATATAAACACAAAATCCAAAAAATTTATATGCATAGTTTTATATTTTGGTTTGATATTTTGGGGTGAATACTGAATATTTTTTTCTTGTTTAGGCTAGACTCTAATTCTCAGGTTAAGTTCTAGATATGGGCTTTTACTATTATTACTATTATCATATAAAACGAATTTAATAAAATGGTATATTTACCTGTAATTATTATCACTAAATCTCAGTTTTATATTAAGAACTCAATCTTTATATTTTCTATACATCTACCAATAAAATTAAAACTTTTAAGAAAATAAATATAAAATTGTACATAGGTACCAACACTTACTTTAATTTTATTCAGACATTTCTATTTACTAATAATAATTGATAAATTTGATAAAATTTTATTTTTTTAATATAAAATGTTTGAACGTCATAAATAGTATACCTTCATAGTTTTTATTAGCTCCGTGCGTGAGAACGGCGCAATTTCATTTTTGTACTAATGGACTATTTTTGCGTATTCGCTCCGTGCGAAGTCATGGAAAGGGAAGCAAAAGCGATACTAGCGCTAGCTGCGGATAATTCGTGCATTTTAGGGGGATATTTTGAAATTTTGGCATATCAAATACACGTATACATTTTACTTTTTTTCAAAAAAAAGTAGGTAAAAACAATACATTAAGCAACCGGAGTTGTTGTATTGAAAATTGAACAAATACTAGCAAAAAAAACAGTGAAACTTATATAAAAAATTTCAGTAGCAAAGTGGAAATTAAATCAAAGAAATAAATGGATAGATATACAATAAGAAGAAAAATTACCTTTATTTTTGTAATAATAACCGTAATGCTGCAAATAGTAGACATCAGAAACTTGAAAGGTTTTAAATCAACAATAAATTATCATTTTACCATGTTCTTTAATATCCCTTATTCTTAAATGTTCATTCAGCAAGGACTAGATTTCAAGATTTCTGCCTTTGATTATTATATGTGGTTGGACCCGCAATTTTGTAACTTACTGATGGGAAATCAGTTTTAATCATTCATTCTATGTTTTCTTTCGAACAAAAATGAAAATATAAGTAATGATCCTTTTTTTATACATTTTAACTTCACGCTATTATTAAATGGAATTTTTTTATTTTGACAGATTAGAGTAATTCTTCAATGAAAACTTATTAGACTTAGGCAACTTCTCATACAATTTCCAGTAAATACTGTTGCCTGCCTATATTTTATTATTCATTTTTATCGATTATACATAATTTTCTTTAATTTAAGCGATAAAAATATATAATAATAATAAATTAATGTTTTACTTGTTTTACAAATCCATATACTTTTATTAAAACTACCATATATACTTTTTAATTACGAATTCTATTAAAAGTTGCATTTGTCAGTGTATGCAGAAATAGTCCATTAGTATCAAAACGAATTGGCGCTGCTGTCGCGCACGGAGCGAATACTGACAATATAATTTTTAAAAGAATTCGTAATTAAAAAGTATATATGTTAGTTTAAATAAAAGTATATGGATTTGTAAAACAAGTGAAACATTAATTTATTATAATATATTTTTATCGCTTAAACTAAAAAAAAAACTAAGTATAATCAATAAAAATCAATAATAAAATATAGGCAGGCAACATTATTTACAGGAAAATGTATGAGAAGTTCCCTAAGTCTAATAAGTTGTCTTTGAAGAATTAATTCTATTCTGTCAAAATAAAAAAATACCATTAAATAATAGCGTGAAGTTAAAATGTATAAACACAAGGATTGTTAGTTATATTTTCGTATTTGTTCGAAAGAAATACATAGAATGAATGAATAATACTGGTTTCCTATCAGTAAGTCACAAAATTGCATTCCAGCCACATACAATAATCAAAGGCAGAAATCCTGTTTTTGCTGAACATTTAAGATTAAAGAAACGTTGAAGGACATCATAAAATGATAATTTATTTTTTATTTAAATCCTTTCAAGTTTCTGATGTCTACTATCTCCAGTATTACTGTTATTATTACAAAAATAATTTTGTACACCTATCCATTTATGTCTTTGATTTAATTTCCACTTTGCTACTGAAAATTTTTATAATTTACACTGTTTTATTTTGCTAGTATTTTTATAATTTTCAACATGGCAACTCCGGTTGCTTATTGTATTGTTTTTACCTACTGTTTGAAAAAAAAAAAGGAAAATGTATACGTGTAGTTGATATTCCAAAATTACAAAATATCGCCCTTAAATGCACGAATTATCAGCAGCTAGCGCTAGAATCGCTTTTGCTTCCCCTACCATGACTTCGCACTGAGAGAATTACAACCAATTATTTAAAAAAAAAGAAAATAAATCACGAAGCCATATTATGTCACACAAAAACGTGCGATCGTTTCCCTTAGAGACAAATTGAGAATATTTATTTCTTGCTGATGAGCCCTAATAAGGACGAAACCTGTACAAGTACAAAGTGTTAAAAATAATACACTTTTGTGTAAATATAAGTAAGTATTTTAAATCTGTTTCTCTAACCAATCACATTCTTCTGTCAAAATTTGATACAGACTGATATAGGTACAGGATGTTAAATTCATAATATTTATTCAAATAGTGTTTTTTGTGAATCGTTATTTTTTTATTTTAACTATATTAATTTTTATAACCGACCTCAAAAAAAGGAGGAGGTTCTCAATTCGTCGGAATATATTTTTTAACCAACTTCAAAAAAGGTGGAGGTTCTTAATTCGTCGGAATATTTTTGTTTTGTTATATATGTTCAGCGATAATTCTTTACTACGTTGTCCGATTTCTATGATTTCTATTTTTTTAGAAAGTGGGTACCTTAGGGGTGGGTCCATATACATTTAGTCAAGATCTGATAAAGAGATCCAGGAAAAAAATCATCAAACTCTTCAATTTTTATTTATACTCAACGACAATTCTTTACTACTTTGTCCGAATTCTGTTTCTTTTTTATTAGAAGGGGGCACACCTCGGAGGTGGTCCCAGATTTAATCAAGATTTGATGATGGGATCTATGAGAAAATCAGCAAACCGAGTTCGTATTTTGGAGTAGGTTTTTTAAATTACTTTTGTGTTAAAATATAAGTTTAATTTTTTTAATATCCTGCCTACAAGGAGTTACAAATAATGTTAATTTGTTACAATAAAATTACTAATTAAATAGGTATGTTATACTTCAATCATAAATATCTTTATTTATTTTTTGTTTTTTATTTTAACATTGTAACTTGACTTGAACCAAATTATAATACAGGGTATTACTCTTGTGAATTATTATATTAATAATTAGATATTTATATTGTTTTAAATTCTAGAAGAATATATTAATTTGCTGAAAGGTAGTTATCTATTATTTCGAATTATTAATCAATGTTAGATGCCTAGTGTTCTTAAACAATGTTTGGCAAAAATTATGATAATAATTCTAATCAGATTAAAAATTTAGCAGATTATAACGTTTCGGGATAGAAGACGGGTAATAAGATTGACAATTGAGCTTAAAACACAGGTATTTACATTTTCTTTTTTTGTTTGTTGGTTTTTTTTTAATTCTTCTTCTCAATATTTTCTTATATTACTAATGTGGTTAAAAAGTAATTTATAAATATATAATCTTTATAATTGAATAATAGTTGTACAACACATACATTCAATTTGTTGAATAACGTCCAATGCATATATTCACTAACCTATTTTTAGCAGCAGCCGCTCTATCCCTCTGCCTCCTATTTTTGAACCAATTTCCAACTTGCGTTGGAGTCAGTCCCGTCGCTTGAGCCAGCTCCCTTTTCTTCGTCGGATTGGGATAAGGATCTTGCAAATACCATTCCCGTAACAAACTTCTAGTCCTTTCTTTAAAACAATGAGTTTTTTGTTCACCATCCCAAATCGTACGAGGTAAAGGAAACTTTTTACGCACACGGTACTTGTCCACGGGTCCTAATGCACGCCCCCGTAACTTTTCAGCTTCTTGATAATGAGCTTCCAGCCACATAGCTTGCAATTTTCCGTGGGAGCCTTTGGTAAATTTATGCGATTCTAAAATTGTATAAAGGTCTCTAAAATTACCACTGTGAAAAGACACTATAGCTCTAGCTCGTAAAACGGCTTCATTTTTGTTCAGTTCACTAATGTTCGGATGCGCTACCGGAAGGGACCACAAAAACCTAGCGAGTCTTTCAATATCGCCACTTTCTTCTAGGGTTTCGCAAACCGCCGCTACTTGGGACACGGTAAAGTTCAAAGTGGGTAACGCGAACATGGGATTCGGCAACATGGGTGCCGGCGCTACCGGGATCGGGACGCTAATACCTGGCGACGACGACGTCTCTGAATGGGCCCCAGATCCGGGTCCCGTACTCCCACAGAGCCCCGAACTCAATCCCAGAGCCATATGGGTTGCCAGCGTTGCGACGTTCACTCGGCACTTATCATTGCACTTTAACAAAAAAAACGTGTTACTCAGGTAACTTTATCAACAAAGGAAGATCGGATTGCAGAAGCTTTGTGTATTGCTCTCGAGACGAGACTGAGTTTGTGTCCGCCAGAAGCGGCTATTGGCCCTAGCGGGGCTGTTACCACGGAGACTGGGTCGCCGGAGCGCCAATAACAACGCGCTGTGGAGGGGGAGCACCTCTACTCTGGGCGGAGTTAGTGTCACTTTGATATATGACGTTTAGATGAGAGCCTTTGTGGCATACACCTAACTAAAGGTGATGTATAAAGTGGTCCTCTATTCGGTGTAGCTCTGTCACCATGATAACTTTCGAGATACGCCTTTTATGTTTATTTCTGGGTCGTAGGAAATGACTAGAATCTTGTTTTGCTTACATTGCGGTCGATATCTTTATTAGTTGTAGCTCGCTGGAAGATTGGAAGGGGTCGGAAAATGCGGTGCGTTTTGTAAACATGTATCGATAAAGCGTAAATTAACTTTTTATTATAACTGGCTCTTGAATCGATAAAAAGGCTGGCGGTTATACTTTTATTAAAGCGATTTTATCGAAACGACAACGTGTTATCCAAAATATTTCTCCTATATAGGTATTCACAATTAAGATAACCAAATACCTACCTAAATTATAACAATAATAATAGTATAATTATTCTTTCTTTCAATACATACTTTACAATTTTTATTTGAAACATTTTCAGTTCTACATAGACGTCTTAAGATTTGTAATTTCGCAAATAATAATATTACATACCTATAAAAAAATATTTTACATAATTCTATACTAATATCCTACAGGGCTTATAACCACGCTAGGCTAAGTGGCCTGTCTTGTGGCTTTTAGTCCTGCAGATCATTTTAACAAATTTTAAACAATGAACCTAATACTTATTTATTTAAGGCAATGTACCAATTTTAAATTACATAGCTTTAACTTTACTATCTTAAGATTCAAGAGTGATTGATCAGATAACCATTAAGCAAGGTCCTGGTAATTATGTAATTACAATTAAGAATAAAAAACAATGTAAATTCAGTAAAAAGAAAAATTATCAGGGTACTTTTTCATATAAATAGTGACTTCTTTTTTGAAACTTTTAAAATTGGTTATTTCTTTAATTTGTTCTGGAAGAACTTTAAAGATTTTTGGGCCGAAGAATAGAAATGAGTTTTGAGTCGCTGTTTTACTAAAAAATTCAACAATAATATTTAAATTTAATTTTGACCGAGTATCTCTAGTTTGCTGTATTTGTGTATACGTTTTTTGTTCATGAAATATTCTTATTAAACATTGATAAATATCGGATATTTAGCATACTGGTTTCTTGGTATAGATGTTGAGTGGAGAATAACCGATCTTTCCTAAATATTATTTTTAGGATTAAATTTTAAACAATTTGTAAAGTATTTAATGCTGTTTTGTAAACTGTGTCCCTGGCTGGGATACAATATCTTATAATAGATTCCACTAATGATGTGTATAAAATTTTTAATTTTTTTGAGCAAAAATGTCGCGCAATTCTTAAAATGTATGCATTAAAACTCGTAGTCGTCTATTAACATAACCAATATGATCTTTCCACTTTAAATGCTGGTCAAGTAGTACCCCGAGATATTTTATAGAATTTGTTTGTATTGACAATTGCAATTATCTTTATTGACACAATGGGATGTGTGTAATTTAATATTTATATTAAGAGGTTGATCTCGAGCAGTGGGAGAGTAGGTCATATACCTAGTTTTGCTAATATTTAAGGATATTTTAAAGTAAATGAGTTGCGCAATCTAAATTTCATACTCAAACTCCTTTTCTTCCATTGGCGTAGAATTTTTAAAGGTGCAATTATTTAAAAAATCAAGTTCTACGCCTATGTATTATTATCGGACAAAATTTTAATACCATTTTTTTTGCCACATAAAACTCTACCAATATACCAAATTTCAGCAAAATCGCATATGCCGTTTTAAATTTATATGGGAAAAACGATTTAAAAATTGTAACTTCAAGGCCCTCTGGAGCCCAAACGAAGCAACTTTGTACTAAGGTAATTTTACTTAAATCGACTTATTTTGGTCTAAGGAATGTGTGGTATGTCTTTGTAAAGACCTTTTACAGACACCCTGTATATTAAGGTTCTAGTTTCTTGTCTACCTATTATTATAATAAGTTTTTAAAAATAGATTGATTTAATCATATTAATTAAATTACGTGTTTATAAATATATTCTATAAATTATTAGAATATATTTTGAATATTATGCACTGCATGAAAATATTGTATTTGTGGCCAGTAATTTTAACTGTTATTTACAGTCACTTTAGAATGACATCTGCCCTCAATCGGTGTAAAATTGCATTGGCGACTGTAAAAACTAAAAATAAACTTTTAATTATTTATTTTACAGTAAAAACTGCATTTTTTCCACCTGTAAGTGAGATCAGTGGCGGCTCGTGATAATTTAAAATTGGTGTTTAATTTTTTCAAATAATAAGTTCAAAATAAAAGTTTGTACAAGCACCAATATTGCTGTTTTTTTTTTTAATTTTGGGTTTGTATTAATTATTGTATAGTTATTATTATCATAAAAATCATACAGTTTTCAAATGCTACAACTATTATTTTTAAGTAATTGAAAATAATCGATTATTTTAAATAATCGATGTCGACAAAAGTAAATAGTCGTTGTAAGGAGCCTATAGTTTCATTAATAAGTTAGAATAAAGACAAATATATTTTTCCAATCATAATTTATATTCCTAATAAAAGTTTAAATTTGTATACCTATCTACAGTAATATACCTAAATAAAAATTGTTTTCAAGACTTAGGTATAACTTTGGAATATTTAAGAGAAAAGTTGATTAAGAAGCAAATGTTTAATGGCTGTATTATCATTATAGACTATTAAAAGAATTGATACGAACCAAGACGTGGACTTATGGAACTTTCAGATATTGCTGTAAAAAGAATTAAATTTTTAATAAATTATAGAAATGCAAAGTTCGTTTTCATTGAAACATGTATCTTTAAAAATGGAACAATAAACCACTTCTGACAAGAGGCGAGTCACCTCTTACCGAGGGAAGTAAAAAAGTTTTATTTAAAAAAAAACAAATATTCTTAATAAACAATTCTGCATTATTTGGGAATCCATAATCAAGTATTATTACTTTTGTCATGATTTTAGGCATTCAATCAATTCAAAAAAAATTTTTTTTGCCTGTATATGTTACAAAATTTAATGTTTGATTATGAATTTCCAAGTGATGCAGAACATTTTATGAAAAATATTTTTTCTAGCAAAATTTTTTCTAATGATTGTAATTTTTTTGGGGCAAACTTTATAATACAATGTGACGTACCCTTCGAGTACGTCGTTAAGGAGGTCCTTTCGCCACACCTCTCGCCTCAAATGTTAAAAAAAAAGTTTTTAGATTATGACTAAAATTAATTTTTTTCTAATAGTTGAAGTCCTTATTTATCTAATACTGAACTTTTAACTATACCTTACCTTGCAAATTTTTGAGAATTTTTTTTTTTAATGTGAGTATTTGTACAGTGCCTCACGAGAAAGTAAGTTCTCAACAACAATTCTCGAATTATACTATTATTTATTGATTAGATGAAGTAGAAAAAAACTAAAAATAAGGTTTTTGAAATATTTAGATTTTGTTTTATACAATAAAATATATATAGTAGGGGAGACCGGGGACAATTGTAACATGGTACAATTGTAACAGCGTTCACAACAAAACAAAAATACATTTTAAATATCGCGCCACTATCTGATGACCTTCGATGGCGTCAGAGGTTCATGTCGCTGTAGTTTCAGCGAGCCAGTACTGGTAGAATCGTCTTAACGTGCAGTAAGTGTATTTTTTAAGCCGTAAGTAATTTTTTCGCGCTTTAATTTTTTTATTATAAACCATAGTAAATATGTATAAAATACGTTGAAATTTCGTCAACGTTTTATTTAAACATGGCTCTAATAGTTGTGAAAATTAGAAATAATGATAGATGTTGAAGGTTTATCTAGATTAATTTTAAACAATAAAATGGTAGCTGGAGACATTTGTAACACTCAATTGGGGGACGGTTGTAACATGTTACAATTGTCTCCCACCGCAAGGTATTTAATGAAATTAATTTTTTTAGCAGAATTTTTTTTGCAGAAAAATGCCACGTTCGAGGATGAGAAAAACTGAGAGAGGTCTTTCCAGTATTGATCTACAACAGGCAACTTCATTGGTAATAGACCAAGGTGTCTCCGAAAGGGAAGCTGCAAAACGATTTGAAATTTGTCATGTTACCCTACACAGATATATCAAAAAAGTTAAAAGTGGTAATGAAAAGCCAAAAGTTGGTTACAATTCTCATAATAAAATATTGCCCTCAGAAGACGAGGTAATATTTTGTGATTACATTCGCAATTCAGCTGATATGTACTTCGGCCTTACACCTTCTGATATTCGTTCTCTTGCATACGAATTTTGCAAGGGGAAAAATATCCATGTTCCTGAACAATGGCACTTAACAAAAATGGCGTCAAGGGATTGGTTTTCCAATTTTATGAAGAGAAATCCTACATTGTCGATTAGAGTACCAGAAGCCACAAGTCACGCTAGGGCTGTGAATTTCAACAGATTTAATGTTGGTCAATTTTTCAACAATTTAGCCAGAGTAATGGAAAGAGATCAGTTTGAGGCTGCCAACATATATAATGTGGACGAAACAGGGGCAACTACTGTCCAAAAACCTAATAAAATTGTTACTACCAAGGGCACCAAACAGGTAGGAGCCGTTACATCTGCGGAAAGAGGAACATTAGTTACCCTCTGTGTAGCTGTGAATGCCATAGGAAATGCTATCCCGCCTATGTTTATATTCCCCAGGAAGCGGTTTAAGCCATACTTCATGACAAATGCTCCAGTTGGTTCAATCGGAGAAGCCAATGGGTCTGGTTGGATGGACACAGAAACTTTTTTCACTTTTATAAAACATTTTGCAAAACATACTAGACCTTCACTTGAAAATAAGATT